AAAAAATGGAAACTAAAAATGTCAGTAAACAATTCAAAATAAGTCAAAATATTTGGAAAATGTTATGGTGTATAGAAAATTTTAATATAAATATTCAGTAAAAATTGCATGTACGGTCATCTGTTTAAGAGTTGTACCAAAAACTAAAATTGATTTTCTCGAAAATAGATTTTGCGTAAAAATTCCCGTTTTTCCTTAATTTTTATTTGGTTTTTCACTGCGCTTTTGAAAACTACTGGAAAATTTTAACTTTTGACTTCTCAAAGTACCAATTAGATTCACTTTCCTTCAGTAAAGATACCTTTGAAGAAAATCAATGCACTTTAACTGCCTAAAAGGTGATGACAGACACAAAAAAATATTAAAAATTAAAAAAAAATTGTGAAAAAGGATTTTTTATTTTTTTCATCTGCTTTTGAAACAATAAACTAGGAACCTTCTATTACATTTTAAAGGTTTTTAACTAACAAATAAAATTTTATGGATATTCATAAAAAAAAAAAACCAATAAAATTGGAAACTAAAAATGTTAACAGTTCAAAATAAAACTAAATATTTTGAACATTTTATTGTGTATAGAAAATGCAAATATAAACAACCGGTGAAAATTTCATGTATCTTCGGTCATTTGTTTTAAAGTTACACCAAAAACCAAAGTCGACTCTGCTTAAAAATTCCTGTCTTTCCTTAATTTTTCTTTTGTCTTTCTAAGAGCTTTTAAAAATTACTATGAATTTTAAAATTTGACCTCCTCAATACACCTACAATATTCACTTTCCAATCGAATAAGATACTGAAGTTGAAATTCGAAGTATTATTTTAACTACTTATCGTGTACACAGTCACCAAAAAAAAATTAAAAAATTTAAAAAAAAAAACACATCAGAATTTAAAATTGTTTTGAATTTAAAAATTAATAAAATGTTCAACTTGTATAGCTAAGGATTGAAAATTTAAAACAAGGTTACTCGTAAATGGGTTATATAATTTAAATTACTTGATTCAATATAATATCATCAAATGTACTTAGTAATATCATATTCTGACTGAAACATCTTCTCTCAGAATCGTTTTTCTTAAACAAAGATATTATATCATTGAATTCAAATTTAACACAATCTACTACAGTAACCCACATGTAACCCAGTGTACAGCAAAGCAATACCCATTAGCCCAACTTTTTTTGTTGTAAATAATATACCTACGTATCTACTTAACATTTTAAAATATTTGTCTTTGACTTTGAATCCTTGAAAGTTGACATAATTTACAATTTTAATGATATAAAATATATTTGATATACCCAACATGAAAAAAAAATAATTCACTTTAAATATAGATAAGTAATAAACATTACACCTTATTTTGAATAGATACTAAACAAAATTGATGAGATAACAAGTTAAGGGTTAATGATCTATCATTCTATCCAACCATTTATCACACAGAAATCGTGTATGAACACCTATATCACTTTTAACAGGTTATTTTTTTGGAACTTTTGTATATTCCTTAAATATTTTAGTACAGGGGTCAAACATTTATATGGGGGCCTGTACTTACGACGAGTAAACCTATAAGTGATTTTAAAAGTTTATCGTGATACGAGCATATGTTAAGTGTGCTGAATTTAATTACCTACGTTGAATAAATAAGCAAAATATTATGTTTTGATTGTACAAGCGACTTATGGTATGACTTTTTTATTACTATTATGTATTTATATTTATAGAAAGTATGACAAAATATTATGTATTTTAATTTCTGTGTAGGTACATATAGTAAATATATTTTTACATACGAAATTTTTTTTATTGATATTAAGCCCGTGAATTGTGGTAGGAGTTAAGGTTGTTGAGGTAGGTTAGAAATATTGTAGTATATAATATTGTATATCTACTAGCACGTATACTAGATAATATTAGTTGTTATTATTATTTTTGTAGAAACAGTGAACATATACCAGTTATGTTATACCTATGATATAAGTTCTAATACCTACTGATAATGTATAACCACGTAACTATAAGTTCGTGAAAATGAGTAGTTTTTTCAAAAATATGGAATATATATATATATTTAGATTTGTGGATACGATACATGCCCTAAAGGTTATTTATCAGATACTATTATCTCAGAATATATACAATTAGAAAGGGCATTCTAGATGTAAACAAAATCTTTACGGTCTGGCCATCTTCCTAGAACAATTTTTATTATAAGTTAGGTATCTTTTATTATTAGTATCTAATAACCTTGACATTCCCCCACCACGACATAACTGTAATTCTTGCTATGATAAAACAGTTAACATCTCGGGCACCAAAAAATAAGTTTCTCTTTGAGTAATACCTGTATATCTGTAATCGTGGCCCTGACCTACGCAGTTCGTTTACCTCATAGACCTGATGTTTAGACCTGATGTTTTATTACCGTTATGAGTATTGCTGTTGTTAGTAGTTGTTACACACTTGATACTTCCTTCAACTCAGTAACTCTGTAGCCATCTTACACAGAATCCAACCATCTGTTTATAGTAGTAGTGCTGTACCTCTATGACTTGTGAGTATAATAATATAAACTATATTATATAACAGGCAAGTACATATTTTGATATTTTTCGGTAGTTTTGCATGTCGTAAATGTATTAATATATAATATTTAACGTAGATTTTATTGTTGTTTATTATCGATTGCATTTGCTGGCTCATGTCCAGGGCCGGATTTGACGGAGGGCATTAAGGGCATATGCCCCGGGCCCCCAAGTTTTAGGGGCCCCCGAGACTCGAATCAGAAATGAAAAAAAAAAAAATAAAATTGCAATTTGGAACCCAAATTTTGGGTTCTCAAACTATATTTAAAAAAAAAAATATAGTTTTGAAAATAAAAATGAATTAGGTATAAAATATAAATTAAATTGTACTACAGTACAGGGCCGGATTTAAACATTATGGGGTAATGACTGTAGTATACTACAGTCGTTGTTATTGCATTATCACGGTGACGTAAAGTTGCGGGTTATATAATTACATGTGTATGTTTATACGAGTATATATAAAAATCATAATGTAATCTGTCACAAATCACAATGTAAAATGTTGGAAAATTCAAGACGTCTATAATCGTTATCGGCTTATCGCTGTTTATAGCGTTTATGCCTTTATTGTGAACAAAACTTTAATTGAAAAAGACGTAATATCAGCTTTTCCAAATGTTGAAATCGCATTACGCATGTATTTAGTAATTATGGTCACCAATTGTAGTAGTGAACGCACATTTTCAAGATTGAAAATTATAAAAAATAGATTACGAACTACAATGAATAAAGATCGTTTGAACTTTTTATCAGTTATGAGCATTGAAAGTGATGTGTTGGATAATCTGTCATTTGATGATATTATAGATGACTTTGAAGAAAAGAAATCAAGAAAAGTATGCAATTTATAATATTCTATTTTCTATGTAAACATAATAGGTTAATGACTGTAATAATAATCTTAACTTTTAATTGACTATTTTCTTTATTAAAAATATAAATACAAATTTTTGGTACAGTTTATTAATATATATATATTTAATTAAATACATTTTAGCCATAGATTATATTTTTTTATTAATAAAATAAATAATATATTACTGTATGACTTGTTCAATTTAATTAACATAAATAGTTATTTTTAGTTGTAACTAATAACTATAGTCTATAAATATATTTTACGTATGAAATGAGTTTAGGTAGGTATGCAATTTTTGTTATGGATCATTTAGGGCCCCAAAATATTTTTGCCCTGGGCCCCATAATGTTTAAATCCGGCCCTGCTCATGTCTATACTCCAAACTAATGATCCACAATATCTTAAATTCAATTTTCCCGACTCGTCAACATATGGTTACAATAAATTATCGTTTTACGTCCGTTCCTTGTAAACTTTAAGCGGCCTATCGAGATTTTCTCGATAGCTCGCCTAACCAACCGACCCTGGTTGAAAATGTCATATGGTTGCAAGATAAAGTAAATCTACCAGCATTTTTTATAGTTGGAAATGCTTTTGTAATTACATTAATTCAAACATATTAATATATTGTCATACTCCATTGAGGTCCGCGTGTTCGCCTCTCATTTCATTACAAATCCTTTGAAAAGAATTAATTATTTGCTCAAATTAAATGATTTAATAACAGTAAAAATATGTATTTACATACAAATCCGAGACCTTTATATTTTATTATAACCTATGATATCGTGCTCCTATATTACATATTATATTTTATATTACCTATAACGTGAATGATAATAACCCATTCAATATGGCATAACCAGACATTTTTTTATCCCAGACTAAATTGAAGAACGATCTTCAAAGATAAACTTTTATATTTTAAAATCAATTAATTAACTATTAAAAATAAATTAAATAAATCAAATAATAATGATTCATAAAATCATAAATAATCAATTGTAAAGAATGTTAGCTGCTATATGTATATCTAATTGTATAGTAGGTATTTAGTAATGAGCTGTAACCAGCACACATTATTTCATATTTTTTGTTACTTTAAGTGATCGAAGAATATTACCTATAATATACTATAAAGGTATTATTATATTATAGTGTTTTACATTTCATATGCTTGAAATTCAGCCATTCACTTTTCGATCTCAGTTATCCTCTATCAACACGTTTGGATTCGGCATTGACCAATTGGATGTACTGATTATAGATAATTTTCAAAATGTGTCAGTTCTTACGTAACTAAGTGTGTGTGTCTGTAAAGTGTAAAAACATTGCGGAGTGATCAGTGCTCACACATTTGAATAACGCTTCTGCGTAAAATAATATTTATTCGTAGTTTATATTACCTAAAAACATCAATCTTTTGTAAAGTATATTCTAAAGATATTATAATATGATAAGGTAATTTAACCTATTTTAATTTGGCCCTTAGATAATACAGAAGTGAAGCAATAAAAACCGCATATCGTTCACATATCACAAGAAATGGATAGGATAATCGCATTTATAGTTTCAAGCTTAGGAAAGAAAATGGCCTTCCTGCCCATTTTGGCAGCAACATATATCCATTTCCAAGGTAAAGATATTGGAGCAGGGATCAATGACCAGCCTATAAATAGGTTACTCACCTATTACGATTTTATAATAGTCGGCGGCGGATCGGCAGGTACAAATATTATATTATATTATTAAACTTATCTTATAAAATTATTATATATTACATGCTTTGTACATCCGTAATATTTTTATCACGATATCATGTCAATAATTTCTTCAAGTTAAATACTTACAATATGAAATAAAAATACAACAACAATTACTCAGGTGCGGTGCTGGCAAATAGGTTGACTGAAGTCGAAAACTGGAATGTACTACTAATAGAAGCTGGTGGAAATGAAACGGTACTATCAAACGTGCCATTGTTGGTTGCCACCGAGCAACTTTATGAGAATGATTGGAATTATAAAACCGAACCTCAGAATACAGCGTGTTTGGGTGAGTAATTTTTATGTACTTATCTACTGTAAATAAAATGCAAATACTGTGTTTAAATTGGTAAAATTGTGGTTTATTAATATTAACTAGTGTAGCCTAAACGTACCTACGGGCTACGGCCCGCTAAAGTTTTACTCGTCCACCAAGGAGTTCAAAATTTAAAATTTAGTTTTCAAAAGTCCTTTGAAAAACAACATAACAATTACGGAAGAAATATATAAGAAAACATTTTTTCAATACAATACTTAAATATCTCTCATTTGTACAATCAGTTATTACTTTTTTTATTAAGATATTTGGAGGGACTTTTAATTATCAACTCTCTAAGTGAAAACCACTATTAAAAAAATTCTTAAATATATACTAAGGCTGCCAATCCTTTATAGTAAATAAAAAGCTCGCAGAGAATTGAACGTATTCAACTTGGATTTGCTTTTTAAAATAAAATTACAACTTTTAGCATACAAAAATTAAAATTATAATCATACTTGCGAGCATGAACATAATTAAAACACATTGTAGAAAGTCTTTTGGACTAAGAAGTTGTATGAATTTAGCAGTCGATATATGTCAATATGTCAATATTATTATTAACCAATATAAAAATATTCGTAGCCTTAAAAAAGCAAAATTAATATTAATATAATATACAAGTAGAATAAACTTATGTTTGAGAGTTGATAAAATCATGTAAAATGTAATATAATATCTCGATTTTACAAAAATGAGGTATTATATAAATGTGTACAATTGTAATAAACAGTGATCTAAACTTTTTGTTAAGTTCTTCTATAGTTTTAAAATGACACAAATGTTAAAATTTTTAAGATTCCCAGTTATGTAACCTATTTGCTTAAAATATAAAATGTGAAATTATAAAACGTAAATACTAACAGAGAAACTGGTTATAAGTTTTATTAAATTTGTTTAGGTTAATTTATTTAATATTCATAAAAAAAAATTAAATGTCTTAGGCATTTTAACTTTGCTTTATAAAATATTATATATTCTGCTTACCTAATGTACTTCTTTCTAAAATATTACAAGATATTACTCATACTAGTCATTATACCTACTTTATATTTAAAAAACCCTATAAATAGTAATAATATAGTACATACACAAACATACATACATACATACATGCAATACATATATTCATACATACATACATACATAGGTATTTAATATATTTATTATTTTATTATATTTCAGCTATGGATGATAAAAGGTGTAATTGGCCTCGTGCTAAAGTTCTAGGCGGTTCCAGCGTTTTAAACAATATGCTGTATGCGCGTGGAAACCCAAATGACTTTGAAAACTGGCTGAAAGAAGGTAATTTAGGTTGGGGGTACAATGACGTGCTCCACTACTTTAAAAAATCGGAGGACAACCAAGACTCGTCCTTAGTGCGTACCCCGTACCATTCGGCTGGTGGCTATCTAACAGTGTCCGAGGCGCCGTACAAAACTCCATTAGCTGAAGCGTTCATCTCGGCCGGGAAAGAAATGGGATACGATATACACGACATAAATGGAAAACATCAAACGGGTTTTATGGTACCACAAGGAACCATCATAAATGGTTCAAGGTGCAGTACCGCTAAGGCATTCTTGAGACCAGCCAGAATACGAAAAAACTTGCATGTGATGCTCAACACGATGGTCACACGCATAACAATTGATCCTATAACAAACATCACGTCCGGTGTTGAAATGATACACAATAATACAAAGTATTACGTTCGGGTGCATAAAGAGGTACTACTATCAGCAGGACCTATTAATTCTCCACAGCTACTTATGCTATCGGGCATAGGTCCTGAAAAACATCTCGCAGAAATGGGTATACCCGTTATTTCCGATTTAAACGTCGGGAAAAATCTACAAGACCACATCGGACTCGGTGGTCTGATGTTTTTGATCGACAAAGAGGTGATTGTATATTTATTTTTATCATATTAAACAATTATAATGACGGTGGTTATATAGGCACACTGCAGTGAATTATAAAATAACCACATAATCTTTTGCTTGTTGTACAGGTGTCACTAACGCACAAGAGAATAGAAAACCTCGATTCGGTACTCAGATATGGGTCGAAGGGCGAAGGGCCATTTACGGTCATGGGTGGTGTAGAAGGAATGGCGTTTATTAATACAAGAAGCAGAAATCTATCGGAAGACCAACCAGACATCGGATTGAACTTCATGTCTGGTTCCTCCGTTTCTGGCATTGGTGGAATTAAAACGTGGAAAGCTCAAGGGCTAAAAGAATGGTATTACCATACGATGTATAATTCGATTCTTGAAAAAGACGTTTGGTCTGCTATACCAGTAAGTAAAATATTTTAAATAAATATGAAAACGAAAATATAAGATATAAATTTCATTGAGTATATCAGAGTGGACTGAACAATAAACGTATATTATACACAGATGTGCTTGAACAAAACATTTTTCTCATAATTAAATTTTTCATATATCGACAATGGTTTATGCTACTTACTAGGTTGAATTGTTTTAAGATTATTTTATTACTTATACACTTTTATTAGATCATAACACGGATTTTTTTAAATATTTATTAGGATTTATCGCTGTTCAAGGAACATAACTTTTCTAAGATATTTGAAAAATAATATCATAATTTCATAGACCTATGTTATATCTGAAAATATGTACATTGGGTTTGTTAGAATAGTGGTCTAAATCTGCACTGAGAATATTCAAAGTCTAATAGGCAATAATAGGATGTACATAATCAACATTTCATATTGTATATCTGCAGATATTGTTGAAGCCCAAGAGCCGAGGTGAAATACTGTTAGGGAGCGCCAACCCATTTGAGTATCCCATGATCTTGCCCAACTACTTGACGGCCAAGGAGGACGTGGACACGCTGGTGAGGGGTGTCAAGTTTGTGTTGGAAATGGCCCGGACCGGGTCTCTCCGCGAGTTTGGCAGCCAACTGCACGATGAACCGTTCCCCAGTTGTCGGATCTTGCCGTGGCACTCTGACGAATACTGGGAATGCATGGTTCGGCACTACACCGTTTCCACACACCACCCTGTCGGTACCGCCAAGATGGGTCCCAAGTGGGATAAGACCGCCGTGGTGGACCCAATGCTCCAGGTGTACGGCGTCTATGGGCTCCGGGTGGTGGACTCGTCCATCATGCCCACGCTAGTCGGCGCCAACTCCAACGCGCCGGTTATAATGATTGCTGAGAAGGCCGCGGATATGATCAAGATTACATGGCGTGACGAGATACCTCATCATAGAACTAATGATAAGATCGCATTGTTCCCGAGGGTATACCACAGGTTATATTAATTTATAGTCAATAATTAATTTATTTAAATATTTTTATAATCAGCCGTATTTTTGTAATAATATTTAAGAACATGTCAGCCAGCTATATGTTATCTGATATCTCTCTCTGGTTCGTGCACAAATGAGAAATATTTTGATTTTCCTTAATATTGTTTCTAAACAATTTGATATCCGTTTTAAATAACAAATTATAAATAATATATTTTATTATTAATATGTTTTATCAAATAATAATACAATATAAATCTCATAAAAGTAAAATATTATCCTCAATCATTTTTGTAATACATATTATTATATGATTTAACTCTAAAATTGCATTTTATCTATGCTGAGGGAAAGAAAATGAATATTGCACTGAAAACCTTTTAATATTACTACAATGATATATTTCTTACCTCGTAATTTTAAAATTAAGATTTCTAGTTGTATAAAATATGATTTTTTCTATGTATTGGCATTAAGTTAAAATATATATGTCCTAGATAATCTATACAATTTAGAACAAAAAATGCCGCTTGTTTGAGACCACTGTACTAGGGTATGTTTACATAAACACATCATAATAATTTTCTTATGTAGAAGTTTTTAGTGGTCTAACCACGTTTTCATAATATAGACACCACTAAACCTACCATCCATATTGAAATATTGCATGGAAAGAAACGCTTTTTATATGCACTAAAAAGTATCAAAATATGACAGAATATAATATACAGTCGAAAATGTGACAATATGCTACAAATATGCAAGAAAAAAATTTGAATTGAGTAGTACCCATGGTAAAAAAGTGCAAAATTGTTATTCAATAATTATAAATAATAATTTATTGTTAATAGTTTTTAATTTGATCTGTTTTCTACTTGTCAAAGTAATATTATGTTATACTTATTCTGTATTTTATAGCAGTATAAACATTTTAATTGCTAGGTAAATGTCTAGGTTAATATTAGATTATTACCTACTTATAAAATTTAGTTAAGATTGGCATATCAATTGAGTTTCTAGATTATATTTGACTTGCCACTAAAGCGGCCTCTAGACGATCAATAATATTGTCAATATTTGTATCAATAATATTGACGGAACCATATTGAAGCAAGTATTGATCGTTTAGAAGGATATTGATATGGATTGTCAATCATTGAGAGAGATTGATAGAAATTTTGATTGATGCTCATTGACGGGCAAGATTGACAGGACGTATTGAACGTCTAGAAGCGTTTATTGTCAATATTTCCGAAATTTAAGTGGCCCATACATTATTGTCAATATTTCCGAATGAGTATTGATGGCTGTGTTTGACGAGCTGATTGACGTACATTGACGCGGGTGTCAATCTAACTCGTCAATATTATTGACAATATTATTGATCGTCTAGGGGCCGCTTAACGACTATCATAATTCTACATGTTGGTACCTACATATACATATTATAATATATTTATTATTATTAATTTTTAATTTAAAGTTTAAATATTAGGTACATCATGTAATTAACTTTATTTTGAAAACGTTTCTCCGAGCCACTCTATTTACTTCTAGACAAAAATTTCCACTACAGTAATATACACTAAGTTATTATTCTTATTTTTCTTCAATTTAATTCGCACTATATTTGTAGAATTTGTCTTGTAAAGAATGGCTACTATAATATTATAGTTAATACCATATTTTGAACAGTATGAAGAACAATAATCTATATTGTCATATTTCAAATAGGTACAGTGTGCTCATGTTAAAAACTTTTTTTTTATATATAATTTTAAGGGAATTTCTTTGGGATTTTTGTATTTAAACAGTTGCCATTCATTACATAATATAAGATACGGTAGCAATAGTAACAAATTAGTAGAAAGTAGTATTTTTTTTATATTTTATACATTTTTTTAGCAGGTTACGCATAATATAAATTGATTGTAATTGATTCGCAAAAATAATTTTGACTTATATTTTTGACGTTTGGTCACTTTATTTTTAGCCTGTGTTGGTTATTATTCCATGTTAATAATAAAGAAATAACTACTGGACTTATTTCAATAAAAACTCAATAGATTCCTTGAGACTTAGAGGATGTTTATAGTTTATTTTTTAATTTCCTGTATCTATGCAGCCATACCTACACCGTAGCCATTTTCTTTCAAAATTAAGATACTGTTTTCCTCCTCTATCCAATTTACGAAAAAAAAAAAAAAAAAAAAATGTTTAAGTTTATTACGAATAAAATAAATAGGTAGAAAAAATTAATTTTAATCATATTATATTAAAACAAAGGATGAAACATAAATACCTGACAAATGAAAAATTATAGCTTTTGCTCATGGGTTCGTGATTTTTTAATATTTAATTTTTATACCTTTTCCAATATTTATTTGTATTTAAAATACATATTTAGTCACCTACAACTTCAGTATTTTAAAAAATATTGTTTTTTATCTGATTTTAAATTTTAAAAAAATGATAAGATACTTTGATACCTAGGTAATAGGTACTTGAATTATATTTTGTATATTATACAATAAGATATAATATTTTCGTCCGATGTTCATAATAATTAGGTTATAACTTTTACCTGTAGGACGTGGAGTTCGACTTGGGGATCAGAGTTGGTAGGCATAGCGAGTTACTACTCGTTATACTTTATTAGTATATTATGGTATATTATTATGTGCTGTTCTTAACTAAACAGTCAAATTAAATAAAATGAAAAAAATCGAGTTCAACGAGGGCTGTTTTCTTTTTTTTTCAGATAAAAAATGTTTATGAAAATCCGACAATTCTATAAGGGCTGAGAATTTTACTTTTGAATTCGTATTTAGGTTCTGAGCTTAGTGTATGTATTTATTGTATGCATTTGCAATGATGTGTTTTTTTTCTGTCTGTCATCAACATTTGGGTCGGTCTAAATTGTCGACATCATAACCTTGGCACTTCCGAGTAATCGTAAATTTCTCAATGAGGGGCTACCCCCAACTGCACAGTCAACAAAATCGTCCAAAACAGTTTGTAACTTATTAAACTCAATTTGTAACTACAGTAGACGCCGCTTATAAGACTCACTTTGGGACCAGCACAAAGTGAGTCTTATAACCGAATGAATCTTATAGGCGAAGTGGAAAAAAAAAATTAATTACGTATTTATAAATTTTATTTTACTACATATTTTGCTTTGATTTTAATACTTTAAGTTTTAACACATTTTACATATTACATACTTTATTATTGAATAAATTTAATAATCCTGATAAAAATACTAAAATTATAATAGGTAAATATTACATATGAAAATATTATAAAAATTATACATTAATAAAAAATTATAAAGGATGTATGTACAATGTACATATTTTAATGTATTTATTATTTATTTTTATTATTTTATTATTTATTTTTATTATACGTTATAAGGTACCACCAGAAACTAGAAATAATCAACACGAATATTGATTAATTTTTCAATACAAATTTATTTCTAAATTATAACCAAAAAAGTTTATTTTCTACTATTTATTTTACGGAATTTGAGTCTTTATAACCGAAGTGTTGAGTCTTATAACCGATTTTTTTTTAATGTATTTGGATACGTCCGGACCGTTCCAGACGATTTTGAGTCTAATAAGCGACTGAACCTTATATCCGTGAGTCTTATAAGCGGCGTCTACTGTATTTGTAACCAACTTTTTAGAATTTGTAACCTTATAATTTTGAGTACTGATCGATTTTCCCATGAGGGTAGTTCAATAAAATAAAAAGTCCAGTTGGTTACTTATAATACCACCCACTTCAATAAAATAGTCTAAAACATTAAAGTAACTTATAATACTCAATTTGTAACCATTTGATTTAATGAAATATTTTACCACTAATGGTAACTGGTCCTAATAATTAATATTTTTGTTTTGCACCAGCCGTTGACAATTTTATTGTTTTTATTATAGCATATTCACATGTTTTTATATTACATTGATTTAAAATTATTGACTAAAATGTCAATTTACATTGGTGCTATCAATATTTTTTTGATGGGGGCCAACTTCAAGTAGCCCCTTGACTTTGTCTTATCGACTTCGGACCAACGTTATTCTTTTGTAACTATTTGTAACACACTTTTCAGAATTCATCACTCCTTACTTTGAGTGATATAAAAATGTTATATTGGGCGAACGTAGCCTGCCAGGGTTTATTAAGTTGTTCCCCTCCATATGGTCCATATAGACAAGACTTTCTGGGGGAAATCGGTCAGTACTCTAAATTGATGAGGTTACAAAGCCTAAAAAGTTGGTTACAAATAGTTACAAATTAAGTTTAATAAGTTACAAACCGTTTTTGACGATTTTGTTGAGTTGTGGGGGCTGCTTGAAGTTGGCCCTTCATTGATAAATTACCCATTGCTTGAAAAATATGAGGTTACACATTCTAAAAACTTGGTTACAAATGGTTACAAA